CCAAGATGGCTCCTCAAGCCCCAGCCATTAAATTTTCATTCCAGCCATCAGGGGAGTGAAAAGAGGAGGAGAAGGAGGAGGACCTACAACTTCCCTTCGATCCTTTCCATTTATAAGTCATTGGCTAGAACTTAATCTCACGAACACAACCTGCTACAATGGAGGCTGGGAGATGTAATTTTTACTCAGGGCAGTCATGCACTTAGCTAAATACTGAAAGCTCTTTACTATCAAAGAGGGGGAAATGGGTATTGGCTCAAATAACTAGAAATCTGCCACAGATTTTTGTAAGATTTAAATGAGATGATGCAGATGGAGGGCTGAGCACAGACTAAGCACCCAATCACCACTACCACCACCACCACCATCATCAACATCATCATCCCTATGAGAATGTAGAGAATACTTTGAAATCATCACCAGATGTTTCTTTATTTTAACCTCATCTTATTAATAATGTCACTCTTATCCACCTCCCTTCTAAGACACTATCAGCTTTATCTTTTATGAAGGCCAGACACCTATACCTTATGAAATAAGACTATATAAAAGGAAAGCAAGGGAATGGTGAACACAGGATTCAAGATAATGGTTATCTTTGGCTGGGGAAACAGAGGTAGATGGAAGAACCACCTAGTTATTTCACTGTCAAAGCCCTCGTCTTTATTTTGGGCAGGGGATTCACAGGTGCCTCCGGCATTATTAAAAATAACTGATAGCCAAATAAGAGTAGAGATACCTGGACCAATAATGAGGCTGTGTCATAAATCAAGAATTAAAATTATTCTGACTCTATGCACATGAGGTCTTTTAATTGTCTTTGTGGGCACAGTATCACGTGGCTTATGTATCTGCATGTCAATAATAGACAAAAATAGTACTTTCTATCCGCATAGACTTTTAACTTTTCGAAGTGCTCCTACACATCCATAAAAACTGCTTAAGAAGTTTATTACACATCGAGAGTGTAGCATTGTATAAATAGGACTAAGGACTTCTGTGTCCTAAGGGAAAAAAATTTATTTTATTCTTACGGTAGCTCTATGAGGTTGGCAGGGCAAATGTGTTATTGCTTTTCACAGATGAGAAAGAAGGAACTGAGAGGGCAAGGGACTCTAGTGAGGTTGTGACTAGTTGGTCTGAAGGGGAACTTAAGACTGGATCTCTTGCCTAGTGCTTCTCCCTTTATCCCAGCTCACTCCCAGTTATTATGCATCCATTAGGCATGGATTCTGTGCTACATGCCAGGCACATTGTGCTGATGTGTTTGTGCTCACGTAGGTGTGCATTTTCTAGAGACTGTGTGCAGTTTATGTAAGCTCTATGCACATGCACACGAACATGCCCTTGGAGTCCTTGCGTGCCCTGAGGCCTACACAGACCATGTAACTCAGAGAGAGATCCCCAGCTGGGGTTTCTGTTGTCTTGTTATTCCTAGGTCACTGGGCTTCAGCATCTCCCCAGAGCCCCAGCTAGTTAGGAAGGTAGTTTTGATATCAAGGACAGATCCCCAGGCAGGGGGCATGGAGCAGAGGAACCAGCCAGTCATGCTTTAATAATAATAATAATAATAATATTTACTATTTCCTGATAATTTATAGTTTGTGAGGAGTTCTCATAAATATGATCTCATTAAATTCTCACTCACCCTTGAAAGTCAATGTTATTATTTTTCTCATTTGCTCAGATACAAAGAGAGGATAAATGGCTTGCTCACAGTAACCTAACTTGAGGATGGACTTGAACTCAGGTCATTTGTCTCTAAACTCTGTTCTCTTTCCACTGTACCTTTGTATCTCTGAGAGGGCAAAGAGCTTATCTTCTTTCTAGCCATGTGGAGAGAAGCAGGTGAAAACTCAATGCCAAGCACTAGGAAGCCCCCAGTGACGCTCTGTGCTCAGAAGAAGACCAATTCAGAGCCAGGAGCCGCACCATCAGCGGAGAAAGAGCCTGAGCAGTTGGAGCTTTCTCCCCATCCCTGCATCCATCCCTTTCAGTCCTGGGCATCTCCCATGGAAGCCTCGGCGAGGTGATAGCAAGGTGATAGCGATACTACAGAATCCGAGAGGGGAAGGTGGTTTCCAATCTCTGTGGCCTGAGGCGGTCTCTGTGTCTTTGAAGAGTCAGGGGGTGGGGGGAGCTCTCTAACCACATCCACCCTCAGCTCCTGCAGCTGGAGGCGAATCCCTCTACCTCCAGCTCCCAGACCCGTGTCCATGCCGTTTTCGCCATGCTGTTTTATTGTACTTGTCTGTTTTCTTCCACGAACATCATTTACCACTGTGAGGCTGAGCATGGCACCTTGTACACAGTTAAGTTGTCCACTAAATTAACTCTGCTTCAAAAAGGCCAACATCTGTGTTTCCTTCCCTGCCCCATGGAATGAACTCTGCTGCCCACCCTGGAAAGAACTGTTCCGGAAGGGTAACTCCTGCCTTTTGCTCCACCTCTCGCTCCTTCTGGAGTGTTGGGGCGACACATTAGGGGCCATATGTGGTCATAGCTCAAGCCCCATCTTTAATTTTGCGTTTTCAGTAATCAAGCTGAGGTTCTGTCTTCACCTGTCTGGTTCCTTTGTCTTATTTCTCAACTGTTCTACCTGTCAGAGCATGGAAGAGGTCAGCAGGGATGTATTTGATGATCATCCCCCACCTCCATCAGAATGTGTCTAGAGGCTCTGTATCAGCTTATATATAGAGCCTCCCCAGTCACCTCCCCTGACCTGGGCTATTATAGGCCCAGCTAGATCCTTGGTATCTTTCTCAGAGGTATGGGGCTAATTGAGACTAGAACTCAACTTCTTAAAAATACCCACTTCTAATGGTGCAAGTTCAGGGACTAACTCTTCCACGCTGGAGATCAGAACCTAGTTGCCAGACCTTCCTTTTTGTTACATTGTCTTATCTAATTCTCTCCACACCCCTGTGGGAAGGTATTGCTATTCTCCCCGCTGAGGGAGAGGAGCAATGGCTTGCTCAGGATCACCCAGGAAATCTGAAGGTCAGTCCATCCTTTTCCCACTCAGTTTCCTTTTTTGTTTTTTTAGCTCATTTACATGAAAAAAAGTTCAAAGTTATAGTTGCTACATTCTTCATAGTTACACAATGATAAATCTTTAACTGAAAAACAAATGTATGGGAAAAGAAGTGCAAAACTCCGAGGAAAATGGTCTAGAAAATATTTAATATTTGCCTCGCACCTATTTCGAGGACGAAGGACCTCTGTAATTCCCTGTAATTCCTGCTCACCCCGAGGTCTCCTGTCGCTAATACTTACTAGTCAGCCACCTCTCGCCTTCAAAATACACCCCTTCTCCCAATTGGCTGCTGCGGTCTAAAAGAGACAGACAATTGGAAGAAAGTGGCTCTTCTATCTGAATTATACAGCTACTTTCATACGCCTCCCTCTTCCCTTTGCGTGGCCCTGATCAGTTACGAACTAGGGTTTCTCAGCCCCCATTCCCTGTCCTTCAGCCCCACAGCCCCCAGCCCGAAGGCCCCGCCCTCCACACTCCGGAGGCCTCGCGTCCTCCCCTTTAAGGCCAGCCCCTCCCCCACGCCCACACCTCCCCGGCCCCGCCCCGCCTCCCCAAGCCCGGCCCCTCCGACCCTCCCCTTTAAGGACCGGCCCCGGACGCAGACGAGGCTGTGACGCGGCCGCCGGCCCCCGGGCTGGGTACATTGTCGCGCGGCCGCTTCCCCCCCGGGCCGGGCCCCCGCCGTCCCGCGGTCCCCCGAGCTCCAGGCCCCCGGGGGGAGGGTGGGAGGGAGGGAGCAGGGCTGGTGGGCGCCAGTGGCGCACGGCGGGACCCACGGAGCCCCGCGACCCGCCGAGCCTGGAGCCGGGCCGGGGCGGGGAAGCCGGCTCCAGCCCGGAGCAAACTTCGCAGCCGGGCGGGGGGTGGCGGGGACCCCGTCCGGAGCTGGAGGAGGGGGCGGCCGCGGGCCCTCCCGCTTCTGCTCCCGTGTCTCCGGGCACCATGCTGTCCAACTCCCAGGGCCAGACCCCGCCGGTGCTGTTTCCCAACCCGCCGCCGCCGCCGCCGCCGCAACCCCCCGCCCCGGCCCAGCCTCACCTCCCAACCCAGCCGCCGCCGCAGCCCCCGCAGCAGTTTCCCCAGTTCCATGTCAAGTCGAGCCTGCAGATCAAGAAGAACGCCATCATCGACGACTACAAGGTCACCACCCAGGTCCTGGGACTGGGCATCAACGGGAAAGTTTTGCAGATCTTCAATAAGAGAACCCAGGAGAAATTCGCCCTAAAAGTAAGTTCGGGGGCCGGGGGAGGGGAGGACGGGCACGGGGAGGGAGAGGGCTCCCGGGGACGACCCCCGCCCCGCGCTTCGGAGCAGTCGAAGCGCACAGTCGCCGGGCGCGATCGCGCGGACCCTTCCCGGACCCGGCGTCAGTCCGACCCGGCCGCGGAGGAGTGGCCGCGGCAGGGCTGTCGGTCCCGGGAGCCCGAGGGGAGCCAAGTGCGCAGCAGGGGGCGGGCGGGCGGCGGGGAAGGTCAGGTCCGCGCGGACCACGCCGCCAGACCGAGTTTCCGGTCACCTCCGGGTGTGAGTGGCGGGACCCGAAAGGACTCGTGAGGACTCTGCCATTTTGGGGTTTGAGCCGGATCCAGCCGAGGCGCAACGGCTGGCTTCGGGACCATTTCTGCTAATTTCACCCCGACTCAAGGAAGTGATTTTCCGGGGTTGTGGTTCCCCATCCTCGCCTCCCTCCTTTCTTTCTTTCTGCGGGCACAAAAGGCCCATTACTCATTGAGCTGGTTGGTCGGTTAGTTTGGAGAAGTCGGTTCGCAGAGGTTTATTTAGCCTCGCTCCTTATTTGGGAGCCGGAATGTGTGATTTCACTTCCCTGGGCCTCCCGAGCGCGGCCGTGCCGCCTTGGGGCGCGCCGGCCCGGGAGGTGCCAGGCTGGAGATTCCGCCGGGACACCGCCCCCCCGGGCGCGGGGGAGGGACTGTTTTGATCCGAGAGCAGGCCCCCCTCCTACCTTCAGTGCCTGTGAGGCTCCAGATGGGAGGCCAGCAGGCTCTGGCGCGATGTCTGCTGTTTCCATAGCTCCATTGATCATTGTGAACCCGGTGTCTAAACCACGGCTTGGCCCGGTGCTGATTCCGCAAATCGGAGATGGCCACTTGAGCCCTGGACATAGGCGATTGGTGGACAGTACGAAGGAGCGTTATCCTTGAGCTGGGGAAACCCAGCCTCCTTTTTTTTTTTTTTTTTTTTTAAGGGGGTGTGGTGGTTGGGGGTGGGGTGGGGATGAGGATTTAAGTGAGAATACCTATTTTAGAAGTTAAACAGAATGGACTTGGAGGTCTGATGAGATGGGTGGGTCCCCAGTGCCCTGTGAGCCAGTGTTCAGGGTCACTAAAAAGGTTTTCCCCTCAGACAGGTTTCAGATCAAACCACATCTCTAAAGGTGACACATCAGGCCTGTTTCCCCTGGGGCGTCTTAATGATTGGAGAAGAAGAAAAATACTTCCTGTGTTATATTTTTCTCTCCCCCCCCCCCCCCCCCCGCTGCCCCCCCTCAGCTAGCTGTATTTCAGCTATTAATGCACAACTCAGATCGGTGTGATGGGTGGAACTGTTGGGATAGATAATTAGATGTAATAAAACTCTGGCACTTTGCAGTTGCAGAGGGCAAGCAGGTCCAATTTCCAGATTTTTTTTTTTTTAAAGATTTTATTTATTTGAGAGAGAGAGAATGAGAGAGAGAACACATGAGAGGGGGGAGGGTCAGAGGGAGAAGCAGACTCCCCGCTCAGCAGGGAGCCCGATATGGGACTTGATCCTGGGACTCCAGGATCATGACCTGAGCCGAAGGCAGTCGCTTAACCAACTGAGCCACCCAGGCGCCCCCAATTTCCAGATTTTAAGGCCTCTAAAATTATTTCCTTGCTGCTTGCATCCTCCTTTGGGGGAGAGCTTTCAGCTAGCCCCAACACTGTCAGATTCTTTGGTTTTTACTCTAAGCTGTTGCTGTGGGCTTTTTGGTTGTTGTGCCTTAGACCACTTTTTCCATACTCATAAGTGGGGGGACAGGGAGGAGCAGTGGTGGTTTAACTGTGGCTCTGACCTTGGGGAGTGGAGTTGAGTGAAGACTGTTTGACCACAGTTAACCTGTACCAGGGAGGAAGTGACAGACGTTCTTTCTGGGAGAGTTTTCTGTCCCTCTGAGAGGCCATCTGCCTTCACCCATCAGCAGTTTGGGGACGATGGCTGTTCATTCCCTTGGATAGCTGGAATATTATATAAAGACTTCAGAACAAAAGCTCTCAACTTCTTTTTATTCTATTTTTTTTTTTTTAAAGATTTTATTTATTTGACAGAGAGAGCACAAGCAGAGGGAGAGAGAGGGAGAAGCAGGTTCCCCGCTGAGCAAGGAGCCCGATGTGGGACTTGATCCCAGGACCCTGGGATCATGACCTGGGCTGAAGGCAGCCGCTTAACCAACTGAGCCACCCAGGTGTCCCTTCTTCTTATTCTATTTAATGACACAAAACCACATGCTAAAATGTTTTAGGGTGGCAATTCGGATTTGTTGTAATTCAGATTTCTGTTCTTGTAATGAATAGGGGAGAGATTTGGATATTTCCCTCCTGTAAATAGTTTTGAAAGGAAAAATCCAGCAGCATTCTAAGTAACACTCATAATTCATTCTCCTCAGGTTAGAAGTGGGTGAAGATTGAAGTCAGTCTGTTTTGACAGGCAGTCTGCTCCCAAATCTTATAAGTTGACTCAACTGTTAAATTGTAGATTCCCACACATCTTTGTGTAAAAACTTAATAATAGAGGAAGAAAGAAGGTATGAGGCATTCAGAGACTGACAGCAGTGTCCATATCCAAATATTGGCTAAGACATAATTACAGCTTGTGGGGGGAATCTGGTCCAAATAATCCTGTTTGAGACATACACCAAAGAGATTTCTAGATCTTGAATCTTGATGAACTTAACCTTAGGTGCTGAGTAGTGAAATGATTTTCAAAACCAGGAGTGTTTTGATTATAAAACAAGGGGGGTGGATGTTGTGGGCTAGCACGGATTGCCCCACTGGGAAGGTGCCTGAGGAAAAAGGGATCAGACCTCTACTCTACATTGTGTGTTAGGCTGTTCCTGGGGATTTGGGGCAGGAGCTGTAGGGCGGGAGCAGGGCCTCGGGTGGGGTTCTGACCTCTTCACAGCTCTGAGAGTGGATGGGAGGTGGTGGCTCCTGTGCCCTGCTCCTTTTATGGTCTTTTTTTTTTTTCTTTTAAGATTTTATTTATTCATTTGACAGAGAGAGAGACAGAGAGACAGAGAGGGAACACAGCAGGGGGAGTGGGAGAGGGAGAAGCAGGCCCCCTGCCGAGCAGGGAGCCCGATGTGGGGCTCGATCCCAGGACCCCGGGATCATGACTTGTGCTGAAGGCAGATGGTTAACGACTGAGCCACCCAGGCACCCCTCCTTCTGTAGTCTGGTGACCTCTTAGCCCTCTTAAGTGAATTATCAGTGCTTTAAAAAAAAAATGCCCAACTCGCGCTGCTGCTTTTCTGCCTCCACCTCAGAGAGCCAACACTTGAGGGCTTTTAGTGGGTGCCGTGACCTCACCTCACCATCTCTCTGGCCTGCTGTTGCTTCGCTCTGGGTCATACTCACACTTCGTTGGGGTCGGAAGGGACTTCAGAGGTCATCTCATCTAACCCCCTTGTCTTGCTGATGAGAACACCAAGACCCAGCGCAAAAACTCACTTGAGGTAATAGAGCCCTGCACTTGGCCGAGGCAGGATTAGAACCCGGGACGCCTGACTCCCCACCTCAGGCCTCTTCCCACTTCGTAACCACAGTGATGTCCGCAGACTCGGACCTGGGGTCGTCTACTGCCCCGGAGCTCCTCACGCCTGAGGAGCTCCTCTCTTAGCCCCTTGACTGTTGGCGAGGGGGTGCCAGGCGGGTGTTTATTGCCTCCCCAGCAGTACCCCCGAAGTTGGAGGGCAGCTTATATACCAACTCAGCAGCTTCATGAGTTTTAAATTGGGTAAGAAGCTTTTTCTTAAAAATTTTTTTATACCATCTCCACCCCTTTTAGGGAGTGTTTGATAGAAATCTTATTTTTTGTATAAGAACGTAGGAATTCTATTAACTGTTTCTTTGGTAAGGACACCTAGTCTCAACCCACTTGTGTAATATATAATTGGTTGTATTCCCGTGGGGTTCCTCAGCTGCTTCCTGCTTCACTGTGTCATGGTGACTCTTGGGTATTAGCTGAACAAATTTAATTAAAGCTGGCACTGTTGTCCCTCTCTGCTGCGTGACTCTGATTAGTTGAAGCATATTATTACTTTACAAAATATAGACTATTGTCATACCTTATCTCTGTTTATCTTTCCATTGCGTGGATTAGAGAAAACAAGGTCCTGTGATGTCTTCTCCTTTCCTTTCTCTGGTGGTTCTCCCTCCCCAGGTCACTTTGTGTCACTGTGGTGTGGCTTCCTTTGGTGTTCTGAAGGGGAGATAATCGGCACCTCCCATGCTTGTTCTGGAAACAGAGGGAGACACAGGCGCTCCCCCCGCCCCAGAGTACAGGCAGCGTCCTATCCAGCACACCTCATGCTGAATACCTCCTGGGTAGCAAGATTGGGGGCATGGCTGGGTGAGGGGCAGTGTCCCAAAATGGGGTTTGCTGGATGGAATCACATGGTGAGGAAAGTTTCATTGACTGAATCGTCCTCTTTTCTTTTAAAGAAAGAGAGAGCACAAGGTGGGGGAGTGGCAGAGGGAGAGGGAGAGAAAGAGAATCTCAAAACAGGCTCTAGGCCCAGCACAGATTCTGAGGGGGGGGCTCGATCTCAAGACCCTGAGATCATGACCTGAGCTGAAATCAAGTGGGACACTTAACCGATTGAGCCACTCAGGTGCCCCAAATCAGCCTCTTTTATATCCACTGTGGTTATAGGTTAACAGTTTGCTGAGCATCCTACTATATGCTTGGTTGTGTAGAGGATACAGACATATAAAGTGCCTTAAAATTTAGGGGGTCAAGAAACCAATTTGGAGAAGGCATTAACAGATGTAGTCTGCATTGTCCAATATGGCAGCCAATACCCATGCATGGCTATTTAAGCTAAAAATAATTAATCTAAATTAAATTAAAAATCAGCTAGCCACCTTTTCAAGTATTTAGTAGCTACCGTGGCTACTGGCTGCTGAACAGGCTAGCGCGGAAGAATATACGCATCCTGGTAGAAAGTTCTACTGGACTGTGCGGGTCTAGAGGTGAAATCGTGTGGTTGGGGATAGAAGAGTTTTGGAAGGGAAATCTGTGAGGATCCTAGGAGCCACTGTGGTCTCATTGCTGGGCCTCTGAAGTCTGAGCAGATCTGTAAGAGGGGCTGGTGATACTGGCCCTGAGGGGAGAATAGGAGATGAGGTGGGCAAGGAGTGAGTAGGGCTGGTGGCCCAGAATCGAACTGCCCTTAGCTTTATATTAAAAGTAGTTTTTCTAGTATTTGAGGGGTATGAAGTAAGCTAACAGGCTGTTGTAAAGATGGGTGACAAATCAGGGTGCCTGGGTGGCTCAGTCGTTAAGCGTCTGCCTTCAGCTCAGGTCATGATCTCAGGTTCCTGGGATAGAGCCCTTCATCAGGCTCCCTGCTCAGTGGGGAGTCTGTTTCTCCCTCTCCCTCTCCCCCTGCTTGTGTTCCTTCTCTCGCATTGTCTCTCTGTCAAATAAATAAATAAAATCTTAAAAAAAAAAAAAAAGAAGGGTGACAAATCACTGAGGTTCGGATTGGGGAGGCCTAGTTTCTGGTTTTAGAGACCCCCTCCCTCTTGTGGGGCCTTGGCCCCTGTTTACTGCAGCCAGACTCTTGGCGTCCACCGAGGCAGGATCAAAGTTGGGTCAACTCATGGTCCTTTTTCAATTGTGAATTCTGGGCTTTGATGGAGCTTGAAAATAATCTCCAGCTAAGATCTGGAATCAGTGGCTGATGGAAGGGAGGAGAAAAGCAGCCCCAGGCCTCAGGACCAGATATTGGTGGATGCCTGGGAAATGAAGAGGCTCCTTTTCAGCAGGATTAAGGTATTGGTGCCCATGATTAAGATGTTTTGATTGCTTGGGACCGGAG